CACACTGCATGACTTCACAATAGGAAGAATCGCCGACAGCTCTGTCTGGTGCAGGGTTGCCAGGTTTTCGCTACAAAACCCGCCCAATTACTACTCAAAACTAGCCTGAAAATAGCCCAATTGCTTTCGAGGGGGTCCCCCAGTAAAAATCGCGTTTGGGGGTAAAATACAAATTTTTTTGGCGGGGTTCTCCTGGTACAATTCACATTCCAGGGACTAAATATCACTTATTGGGGTAGCTTCAACCTGCTGACATAAAAACCAACCGGTGGCAATCGCGGATTTGGCAACACTGGTCCGCAAACTATGTTTCATATAACTCCTCCCCGAACTTCCCGCTGCCCTGTATCTTGGTCTCTCATTGGCTGTAGGTCATGTGTTTTTCAGTCAGGCATTTGTCGGCGATTTCGCAAAACCTGTCGGCGAGTGAAAAATCGGGCTAAAATCGTGCAGTGTGAACTCGGCATTACGGATTCATCAGACTGATTCAAACGGTAACTCCTGAGGTCGTGAATCTTTCAAAGTGATTCATTCAAATAGCCGGTTCATAAGAGTCACTTGTTAGTGAATCAAAGTCGAATCAATCCAGCAAATAGCTCCGCAAAATGATTCACTCACTGTTTTGAAGCGCTTGAAACGTTGTGTACACCTGCTGACGTGCAAATGCAACGAAAACACCGCGAAAACTTCTACAAGACAGTTACAAATGTTTTCATTAAATAGCGAGACTGAAGGTCTAATAATCTAAAATATCAATAAATAGGCTACAATTAATGTAATCTTTACAATATGTAGACTTTTTAAATCTGAAATCACGCAAAAAAGAAACAAACGGTTTGGTAAAATCACGTGACTCACTACGAAGTGAATCTTGATTCAAAACTAAAGATTCATAAAGATTTCGAAGCTTCGAGCAGCCGTTGGAACGTTCTTCACTAGTAAAAGTTCAATCTTGGGATTTTTTAAAGAATCTATATAAAAAACGTTCAATTTACGTTTACGATCTTTCAAGGTACCGTTTTTTTGTGTATTATTGTGTATTATTTGGAATAGCCTCATTTAACTTAGTTATGTAGTCTAAATTAAAATCAAATGATGAAAAGGGCTACACTTGAAGGGTTTGATGAACTACTGATATGCCATATAATAGTCATATAATAGTGCAAGTGGGTTTCTGGTCATCACAGAAAAACATTACAATGATCTTACCCTCTTTTGGAATATTTACAGCATGATAATGGGTTTCTGCCATGGGTTTGAACAGAAGGGGTGTCAACTGTTGCAAGTACATGTTGTTTGGAAGGGAGAGAAAAATCCTGCCCTAATTTGACTGTCTTTCCTCCTCCTGTATGTTCTCTCTTTCACACACACAAACTTGTGTTCACTTTTTACTCTCAGCATCTGTCAGGTTTCATTGGTGTCTGGCACTTAAGATGCCATCACCGTGAGACGGCCCCTTCCCCAGGGTCCCGCTGGTAGATGGAACAACATGGTAAAAGGTCAGTGAAGCAGTGAACAAGAACCAGAACAACTGCCATTGGCTAATTCAGTGATCAAGACAACTCTAATACACACACACTTTAAATAGACACTTTTATTGTTTTACTGTTATATATCCTATAACCTACCCAATCACAATTCACATCCTAACAGAAAACTTGCATTTTTACACACACACACACACACACACACACACACACACACACACACACATACACACACACACAATTCATAATAACCCATACAATAAAAAAAAATTTCAGTGTGCGGTGATGGTATCAAAGGGAATTACCATGGTACTCGAAGGCAATGTTACAATTATACTGTTTATTAATATTTTTAATTCAATTTTATTTTTATATTTTCAGTTTTCATATTAATTGTAAAGTTTTAGTAATTTATTATATGCTTTTGTAATGTTAAATTTTTATATTGATTTTAGCTATTTGTATTTCAGTTTTAGTCCTTTTAACTTACATCTTACAGCCAATACAACATATCAAATTTGTCTTTTAATATTTATAATTGATTTTATGTTAACTTTATTTTAATAAACGAAAACAATTCTTGTTTTAATTTTAGCTAACAATAAAAACAATGCTCCAAGGTACTTCCAAGAATACTGTGGTACCTGTTAAAAGCTAATGGCAATATCATGTTGCTTTTTAATACTTTTTTTGTAGTGACTGAATGATTACCAGTGATTTCCCCTTATAAAACAGTACTGTGATGATATGTACCATGATGGTATCAGATGATAATACTCTGGTATTTGAATATACTGTACCATGGTACTTGCAAAATACATATCAGTTATCACATAGCAACTTGGCAACAAACACATATCAATGTGCATTACTCAAATTGTCTGAAAATGTAAAAATCTAGTTAATCCTTCAAAAACTTGCATACAACCAAAGTGAGGGTTAGCATACAATCCGATGAACTCTGGTAAACCTGCTAAGGTTAAACCATATACAAAGACTAAATCTATACAAAAATTGACAGGATGCACTTTGAGAGAGCGAGCGAGATTGTCAGCATCGTTATGAGGCGTTCATAACTATGAGTGATGTTCCTGCGTTTGTTATTTGCAGTAGAGTTGTGATTGTTCATTGAGGTGGCACAGGTGACATTTTCAGACCTCTCAGACACACACACACACACACACACACACACACACACAGAGACACAGACAGACACACTCTCAGCCTCTTCTGCCAGACACACAGAAGACAAAATGTGTCTTTAACAGAAGATGACTGTTCTCAGCTAGCAGTGTCATTCTTTTATTCTGCTTCTTAAAGAAGTATTGTGGGTTAAATACAGCTGAAGCCCACAGGTGCTGTCAATGGCTGCGTTTAAATTGCCAATCATCAGAGAATATTCACTAAAAAATGTTTTACTGTCATTTTGTTGCTATTTACTTGTACTTTAATTCACAACATACAATGTCCGAATCAAAGGCAATAGTCCTGTTTGTTGATGCTGTTTCTATTTTTACATTTTCAGTTTTCATTTTAATTTCAGTTTGATTTATTTTTATGCACTTTTATCATATTTATTAGTTTTTCTTATTTTTATTTGCCTTTAATTTATTTTATATCAGTTTAGTACTTCAAGTTATTTTCAGTTAATTGTCAAGACTTTTTATTTACATTTTTCATGTAATATTTTTATTTTACTTTATTTCAGCTTTATTTCAGCTAGGAAAACAATGTTCATAGTTTTAGTTAACAATAGCAACACTCTACAAATTATTATTATTAATCTATTTTTGCATTAAAAAATTAGACAAAAAAAATTTGAAATGTAAAAAATAATAATATTCTATTTCTAAGCTTTTCGGAATGTCTTGCCTTATTTCTATTGCATTACTATATCAGTAATTTAATTATTTATTTATTATTTACTTACAAACTGGTGGACAAGTTAAAATGTATTATTCTTATTATTAAAATGAAATGCATTTACAGGAAGCATTCACTAAAATAAATGATTACTATTTAATCTATAAAATGTGAGATTACTTTTCTTCATGGTTGAATTAAATGAATTAATATGAATATTCAGAACATTATTGATTTGATAGGTCTTAATATATAGCCTACTGTTGCAGTTTATGTTTGTGATTTACTGTTAAAACAATCAGGTTTGATTGGAAAGAGAGAGGCAGAAACATACTGCAATCAAACCTTGTCTGAAATCTATCAGCTTCCCAATGTTTCAAGATTCCCACTTCACCGTGTTAGCGGAGAGAGAGCGAGACGGTCGATGTCTGTGAAGGATGAAAGATATTCACAGCTATTGTGCCTGTAGACAGTGGCCACGCCCACATCCTGACATCCGGCATGTGATTGGCCAATATCCTGAATCCCAGCAACAGCTCTCGGGTGTCTCCTCCCACTTTTTGTCTCCACAAAGAGCTCAGCGCTGAATGAAGTGAATCAGCCTCAGACTGCTAGAATAGTAAGAACCTTTTCACCCTGTCTCTCTCTCTCTCTCTCCGTCTGTCTGTCTCTACAATCCCATCTCTCCTTCTCTCTCTCCATTTCTCCTCTTCTCTCTCTCACACAGACACACAGACAAACGGCAGTATACACTATCCGTCCATCCACTGCACAGCCCGGTGAGGGATCAGCTAGACAGGGAAAAGCAACAGATCATGTTCTCTGAAGCAGATCCAGCACAGCTCTGAGACATCAGCCTCTGAGATGAGACTCCATCCATCCTAATCCTCTGTCCTCAAGATCTGGACAGAAACAAATCAAAATAAGGACTTTAGAGACACCAAAAACTCTGGACATCACATCTGGACAGGATTCTTGAAGCCAAACCAGGTCCACAGGGACCTACGAGGGTGCTTTGCCGTTTGTTTTTCTATCTTGTACGGGGCTGGCGAAGGGGCCGGTGAAAGTTAGCCAAGACGCCGCGTGCCGTGCTCCGCGTGAAGAATGCCCAGGCACGCCTGCCCAAGCCGGTGGACACGGCGCCGGCACCTACACCGGGCCTTTACATGGAGCGCTCGCAGAGTCGCATCAGCTTGTCCGCGTCCTTTGAGGCCCTGGCCATCTACTTCCCCTGCATGAACTCCTTCGATGAGGACGATGGCGGTGAGTGAACGTATATGTGTGTCCAAGGATGTGGGTTTGCGGACAATCTGTGACACCTGGAAGTTAGAGTAGAAAAAAGGCTTAGGGTTGAGATTATGAGGTTTGAGATGTGGCTTTGTGGGTCAAGATCTGGGCTGGAAGGTTATGGGTTCGAATCCCTCAAGGCATATGTGAGTTTTCACCAATGTGTCCTCAAATGGATAGTTCGAAAACATAACAATGGCATTTTCAGATGAATTTGTGCAATGTGATTTGTACAGAAACATAGAAGCTGTGTCTCATTTCATATATGGCTGCGCCCTCCAGAGGTTGCATGTCGGCCACATACAAAGATCAAGGATGTGTCATTCAACTGTTATTTCTTGTGAGGCCTAAATTATTGTAATTTCTTTCTTACTTTGCAATTTAATGGTTACTTTTCCGAAATGTTGCAGCCTTAATGACATATAAGTGCACATATGTGCGACCTGCAGAGGGCGCAGGCTTTGAAAAGAGATGCAGCAACAGTTTTTAGGAAAAAAAGTAAGCATGAATGTCAATCCCTAAACATAACCATCAGTGGGGTGTAGGCAGGTCTTATGAAAACATACAAATTAGCCACCAATTTGTCAAAATGGAAAATAGTTACGAATTGCCATGAGATTCAATAGTTGACCCAAAAATGCAAATGCCGTCATCATTTCCTCACCCTCGTGTCATTTCAAACCTGTATGACTTAAAATATGCTATTTTTTAAGAATGTTGCAACTCTTTTTCTTTACAAAATCAAAGCCAATAGGGTCCAAAGCAACATTGGACTCATTGACTTTCATTGTGTTGACAAATGACAGTTCCTTTGTGTGAAGAAAGAAAGTCATACAGGTTTGAAATGACACGAAGTTGAGTAAATGATGACGGAATTTGCCATTTTAGATGAACTATCTCTTTAAGCAAGACACTCCAGGTTACTCCAGGGAACATGCAAGTTTGCTTTCATTCAGATATGACAGATATTAATGGTTATCCTGTGGGGGTTTGGGACTCATTTGGATCATTATTGCAGCAATTATTTGGTGCAAAATTGATGCTCAGTTCTTTTCCTAGTCTTGGGGTTTTTGCAAGCCCCCAAACTCTTGGTGCCACGTGCATGGTTTGGATGTAAAGGCCATGTCATACTGTTCATTTTGATATGCAATAAAGAAAATGGTGCGTTTGCTCACTTGAAATCCGTATCTGCAATCTGAAATAGTAAAACAATTGATCTTTATGATGAATACGTGCACACAAAATGCTTCCTTCAGCCGGCATTCTAATCAGCCAGGCGTTTTTATTAATGAAGGCATTTAATCACAGCGTTGACACTCAAATGCTAATATAGCTGTGATTTTCTCCAGGTACGGCTGTGGCTCATTTCAAACAGCGTCTGATTGCAGGTTAATGTCTGTCTCAAATCCATCAGCAGACATCCTGGCGTTAATTTAGCGCTCATTAGAAATATTCCGACTGCTCGGTGCGCTACTTGCTGAGTGTTTTTGAGCTGCAATTCTGCATAATTTCCCAAGTGCTTTTAGTCTAGGCATGCTATAAATCTCTCTCTCTCTGTCCCTGTGTGCTCTCTTCCTTTCTTGATCGCCCTCGTTTCCTTTTTTTCCCGTCCACTCACCCAAAAAACCTTTTACACAGCCTCGTCTATCCGAGACATCCACACACCCACCCACGCTCACACACACTCTCTCTCTACCCTTGGCCTGATTACAGACTTCTCTGCAGGAGAGAGACTAGTATTGAGAGGAAAAGATTGTGCCTAGCTGGTGATCATCTTCGTTAAACGTGTGCATCACACACAAACGATAGAGCACACTTAGAGCACTTTCTGGTTTAGCTTAAAGTAACATGCACTGCTCCTCATATGCACTGCTCTTGAATTTATAGCGTACACTATTGGTTTTTAGACTTATAGGCCTACCCAATAGCTGGGTTTGTCCCTTTTTAACCCAGCGATGGGTTATATTTAACCCAGCATTTTTTAGAGTGTAGCGTGTCTCCGACATAGTGATAAACCTTGTTGCCTTTTCTAGTGCAGCTCAACCAGGTCTCGTCCCATTCGTCAATATTTGTGATATCACAATTCCCCGAAATTTTGCGTTGTAGTCCAAACGAGTCGTTCGCTGTAGTTTTTGAAAAGTGATTTCTGTTAAATAAAATATCTCCTTTTGAAGTGGACTTTGAGCTTTGTAACTTTGCAGATCTTTTTTATGCTCAAACAGCAACATTACAGACTAACTAAAGTTGAAAAAGTGAAAAAGCATAATAGGACCCCTTTAACTAATCAGCTCACCGCATCTTCTTTTTATGCTGATACATACTTGCATAAATCAACTTAATCAATGCAAATCGCACTAATGAATATGCTAATTACTGGAACACAAATGAACACATTGCAAGTGCTTTAGTTTAACACCTATTGCTGACTGTCAGATGACTGCAAATGCATTGATGATTTAATAGCAAATAAGACTCAAAACAGTAATACATTGTGCAAATTACAGTTTGCTTTGGGTTTTGATATTTGGCATAATATTTGGGATGGTTTGCAGCCATTTAAACCTGTTGTTTATGAACATGTAGATGGAGAAAAAGGTTTTCTACAAAAGAAGCGGAAAATGCTGAACAAATGCAGTAATAAATGAACTCGCCAGTGATTTCGTAATAACACCCATTACTCACTGCTCAAACCCCGGGACATTTCTGACCACAAATATAGAAGAGAAATTATCTTGTGGAAAAAAAATGAACTCCTGCATGATATTAATGCTTTTCGGACGGATCCATTAATCAGAAGAATGAGGGGAGTTAATGATGTCTTTGTCAGTCTATTTCAGAAGAGAAGTGCTGAATGTGAAGGTCCTTTGGTTGTGTTATATGCACATCTCAAGTCACCTGCAACTGATCTGCTATTTTATTAGAAATGCATGGGTGATATTGCAATACATAAACATTATGTTTTCCCAAAAGGCTCATACTGAAACAGATGTATGAAACTGAAGCTATCAGAGAGGCGACTGCAGCAGTCTGCGGGCTAATAGATCTGTTAAATAATGAGTCATTAATGACTACAATTCACTTTCTAACAAGACAGCTGTGTTCTCATCTTTGTTCAAACATGATCTGTCCAGACTAACACATGTCCTAACCAGGCACAACACAACACAGATATTAAAAACAAAAAGTGGATCCCATTGCAAGAAACAAAAATAATCCACGTCCAGGCACTCACATAGCAGGGGGGAAAAAAAATGTACGTTATTTTAAAATATATATTTTGCCTGCTATGTGAGTGCCTGGACGTGGATTATTTTTGTTTCTTGCAATGGGATCCACTTTTTGTTTCCTCTCTGGAGCATAGTCTCGCTCGTGAGTACCTGATGCGCCCCTGGTCAAGACTTTTTTCTTTAATTACAACACAGATATTATTTGATCTTACTGAAAGCGAAAATGTGATATGAAATGTATTGTTATTATTTTTTATTATTTATAAATATATTTATTTTATTTAGTTAATAATTTTTTTAATAAATTAAATATTACATTTTCTATTAAATCTCTCTAAGCTTTCTTGTATTTAAATTGTTGAATTTTGTAGTATTCTATCTTATTGCAATTCTCTTCAATGTTAAAGGGATAGTTCACCCAAAAATGAAAATTCTGTCATTAATTACTCACCCTCATGCTGTTCCAAACCCGTAAGACCTCCGTTCATCTTCGGAACACAAATTAAGATGTTTTTGATGGAATCTGAGAGCTGTCTGACCCTCCCATAGACAGCAAGTGTCCTTACACGATCAAGGTCCCAATGTTTTTAAATTCCTTGTTTTATTGTTGTGATTATTATTATTATTATTTTTTTTCTTTTCTTTTATGTAAAGCACTTTGAATTACCATTGTGTATGAAATGTGCTATACAAATAAACTTGCCTTGCCTTGCCTTGCCTAATCTTTTTGATTAGTGTCCTCTCAAACTTTAACAAAGTTAAATCGAAGTTTCCCTGTTCAGACTGCTTTCACCCGTAGCTTTTGCCTTCATTCTGTTAAGATTTAATCTAACAGCCACACAAGGGGGTTCAACACCTATATAACACGTTCGCTCCCCAGCCACGATGACACAAAGGGCCCGAAGCCTTTGCGACACACATCAGACCCAACGTTGCCTCCCACCGCTTGTCTTGGCGCATTCAGACTTCATCTTTCATATCCTGTTTGCTGTTAGCGCTGTTTGATGCAATGGTTTTGTGTCAGCTGCGCCACGCAGATACGTTGTTTTCGTTCAAATCAAAGCGTAAACGACGTAAACAACGTATCCGCGTGGCACAGCTGACACAAAACAGCATACGCAATTTACGTTCAGCGGATACTCTCCAAAATGGCGCTAGGGTTATTTTACCAATGTCCTTGCTACATTTCTGGACCTTGATCGTGTAAGGACCCCTACTATCTATGGGAGGGTCAGACAGCTCTCAGAGTCCATCAAAAATATCTTAATTTGTGTTCCAAAGATGAACCGCATCAGATCCAACGTTGCCTCCCACCGCTTGTCTTGGCGCATTCAGACTTCATCTTTCATATCCTGTTTGCTGTTAGCGCTGTTTGATGCAATGTGTACTAAGAATCCCAAAGCACAACATGTCTCGGCTCCCCCCTCCACCGGCGCAGGAACAAATCTCTGCCGAAGAAAAGCGAACGCTCTGAAGTCTCGAGGCTTATTAACCCTCCTACACTGACAGGTCCTGCATTGATGCTGCTGCTCAAAATAACTCACAAACAAACACACACACGGCATCAGTGAGATGTCATTTGGCGGCAGGCGCACATTCTGTGTTGCATAAGAGCGTAGTGAATCAAGGACAGAGGAAAAGTTAGAAGGAGGTCAGGATGATTGATACTCGTAGCATCTGTCTCCACAGTGCGTCTGTGCGAGTGCATGTGTGTCTGTGTGCATGAGATTTAATGCTGACACTGATTAT